AATAGGGATGGCCTCCAACCTAATAGCGATGGCCTCCAACCTAATAGCGATGGCCTCCAACCTAATAGCGATGGCCTCCAACCTACTTTCGATGGCCTCCAACCTAATAGCAGCGGTTTGGCTGGCACCTCTTTGAGCAGCGGTTTGGCTGCGAAGGGCGTCTCCAGGGTCGCTTCTAAACCTGAGACCCGGTCGGAAGTGGTCGTCGAAGGGGGCGGGCGAATGCGACGAATGGGCTGGACACGTTGTGTACTCCCGGGAGGGGATTTGGGTCCGAAAACGGTCCTGATTTGGGTCATCTGCCAGTCCCACTCAAAAAAATCTGCCAATATTCTGCAATGATTAAAAGATATGAAGTACAGTCAGACATTGAAATTCTATAAGAGCTAAGGCCACTAGGGGTTGAGCAGGGTCAAACAAAAAATACATCCGTGAAGGTTCGTGCTTCCATCTGCTTGCTGATACACACAAGGACACTAAGCATCCTTGATATTCGTGCTTGCCCCATGCTGTTTTTTCCAATCAACTGATCTTCACAGGAGCTCTTGTTCAAACCGGAGACAGGAGGATGCACATCATGAGCTAGAAACATCAACAATTCCCCAATCCCAAAACCATCAAAAACTAGTGACCTCTCTGCTCCAGGAACTCATAGGAACCCAGATATTCCAAACAAGGCATAGAGGCTCAAAGAGAGAGCCTCTGCAGGATTCCCTCGCCTCGCCTGAGGGAGCTGGTAATCCCGCACCATCCGGCAGCTTGCAAACCTGGCCGCCGCACCGGAAAAGCCGCCAACAAAGGAAAGACACCGACGGTGCACCGAAAAGCCTCCTGTTTTCCAGACTGAAAGTCCCACTGATCAAGCTAAATTAACATCAACTTATATCAACTTGATAATTGAAACTTGGCATTTCCATCGCCATGGGTAGTAGACTATGACTATGATTATGACGCACTTGCTCCAACGAAGCACTGTCCGATGTCGGACGTCCAACACCCGTCCTGTCCGATGGCCGCCAGAAAAGCGTGCGCCGTCATGGGCAAAACGATGCGCTTCGCTTGCGACAAGGCATCCATGGGGATGTTCCCCAGGGCCTGAAACATCACCCGAGTAATCGTCACGCTCAAGTTCGCCGGAAAATACCGCCCTTTCGTGACAGGGGTGCCAGGTCTAGAAACAGGCCAAACCGCATTCCGTCCTAAAACTATGAAACCTCTGGACTCCAAGCGAATCATGTTCGATCATATTCGATCATCTTTGCACTCCAAACAATGGCCGCTGAACTGTTTCGATGTGCCTTTGCCACTAGGCCAGGAGATGCAGGCTCCCTGGCCAATGCCGTCGAAATCGGCACATAGAAAACCGAACCCCTCTGATGGTTAAGTGGATGAGGCCCTTAGAAAAACAAAAAAAAGAAGAAGACTCATGAACACACTGCAAAGGAAACATATATGAGTCATAGAACTACCAAAACAAACGATATATGTTGACTCTGGGGAAATGGACTGGCACATACTTTCATGGACAGAACAAATTGAACTATATTCAACCTCTTTGCCTATTAAAACGATTAATCCTACTCACTGTTTGTTACACGCTTCGTTACTGACACGACTGATGGAGTTTGACTCAACATGATGCAACGGCCCAAGTGAAGGGTTGAATGATGAATCCTGAACTTATGAACTACACAATCCGCACAATGTGACATCAACCTGCTGCTCGCCACAATGGTTGTTATCAAGGCGCAGCATCGAACAAACATTCCCACAAACCACAGCCTCAAATCAACGTGTACTGGACCACAAACCTCAGTGCTGCGAATGGGAGAATCTTATGCAAAACCCCGACATTCCACTTGGCATCGCTTGGCTGCTAATTGTTAATACCCAGTTTGTATTTAACATTCCCAACAATTCATTGTCTAAGTTATGCCCCGTCGAGGGGTACTAAGGTGTATTTGAGAGACAGTGCTGGAATTTAGCGTCGATGCTATCATACACCGTCAAAGGCCTTGCAGTGGTTTTTGACCTCTAGATGTTGTTGTCAATTTTTCAAAGCTTTGATGAAACACTCAAACAACCCGGCGGATGGGAAACCGCGTGTGTGGTTGTGTCATTGTTGAAATCGTTTCGGTGTGTTCAGGAACTCAACAAATGTGTTTGTAAATGTGTGTAAACCATTTATTTTTCGCACACTTCCAATTTATCGCAGTTCCACTGGGATTTGGTATGATTTGGTTTTAAGTGTTACTTATTTGCTTTCTACAGCATGAGTCACGAGGCACGAGGGAGATCACGTCTTGTAAGATGAAAACTGCCTCGAAATTTGAGCCAGTTACGATTTGGCGCATCCCTTCTCCAACTATGTCCGGGTGCCCTGTGTCGTCTCCCGCGTCATCTCCGGCGTCCCAAACCGCGCGCGAGGTGCCAAGGTCTGCCGCTGCCCTCGCTGGCAGTGCCGGCAGCGTCCCTCCGAGACCGTGACCTGTACCTGCCGGGTGCCGATGTAGAGAGAGAGAGAGGGGGAGGAGAGAGAGAGAGTGTGTTTGATTTACGGCGCATGGTGCAGTTTCACACCGCATGGTGCGCTCTTCCACGCTTCTTCGGATGCTTTCACTTAGCTTCCGCCGCTGACCGGAGCCCGAAGTCGGCGTCCCCCCGGTTCCGTCGGCGTGCCTGAGTCACTCCCGGATTCCGCGTCAGCACCTCGGAGATGAGCATGGACCGGGTTGGAGAGGTTGGTGGATCCCAAACACGACCCATGGCACTGCCATGACGGACTGCCGAGAGTTCCGGCCAGGGGTGGTTGACTGGGGGTCTGTCTGGGGCGGCAGACTGGCAGTGCCAGACAGGTCGTGTCTGGGGATGGTCGATTTGGGATCCATTTTCGCGTGAAGAAACATAGAAAACCGGCGACGGTTCGCTGTTCCCGGCTTCCCCCGTTTCCAGGTGTTGTGTAATCTCCAAGGCCCGCGGTGATGCTACAACTCCATCGGTTGAAGGTCAAAGTTCTACAGTTAATATAGCTATAGTGTACCCCCAAGTCTGAAGCTAGTTGATCCTGTAGAGAGGCTGGTCTTAGTCTTGCGGGGGATGTGTGTACGCTCCAAAGACGTTGGAATATCAGTAGAATCTGGTCATGCCAGGGAAATTCAGGCAGTGCTGCATACACACGCCTTCCCACAAAAGCGCGAGTCTGTAAAACTAAATGAACACCTTTTGTGGCACCAAAGAAAACATACGTGAAACATCATGAACCTTGGAGAATGAAACTTCATGAAACAATTACCTCTCCTTTTACTTTCCAACACGATTCCTATCACCTGCCCCACACATTCTCATTCATGACTTTCTCCTTCCCACCTTCCCACCCCCCGCCCCCCGCACCGACGCTGAAGCGAAGCCCCCGGCATAAAGGCAGTGCTGTGCGTAGCGTCGTCGCTCTGGGTCCGTAGTTCCGTATTCCTTTGGGTTTGGACTCCGGGTTACCCGGTCGAGGTGGGTGGGTGGTTCCTACATCACGTTTTTTCTTTCTCCAGAGAAACGGACATGGGAAAACTCACGTCTTACCGTTTTTCTTTATAACATAAAACTCTCATGTGGGGGGGTTAGGGTTTAGACAGGTTTAGGATGGTTTGGAAGAACTAGAACGATCTACCATGACTAAGACTCAAACGAAACGCCACACTGGGCGTTTCGACTCAAACGCCCATCCAGCACCAGGACCATCCCGGGGTCCAAAACGAAACGCCGAACCCCAGCAGCAGCAGCATCGGACCATGGGATGGGATCATGTTTCAGAGTTCAGATTACTCTTTTCAAGGGTCTCTTTTTCAAGGGTTTTCTTGGACCGGCGCGGGAGTGCTTTTTATAGTTGCATGTCAAAACCATTGTTCCGAATCGGTCCCTACCACTTCGCACATATTATGCGCACGTATACGTGTCTTTTCCATCGATTATATATATATATGTCGATATCTGACATGTGCAAAAACTCCCTTACTTCCACCCCCAAAAAAGCAAAGACTTTATTCAAACCATATTCCAATATGCTCGATCCTCCACTTGTTGCCATGACCATTCAGCCACCCAAAGGTGCAGCTCCTTGGTGCTGGGCAGCGCTGGTGCCACCACCTCCGCTCGAAGCGAGTGGCCACAGTCGTATCGCACCACCTTGGTGCGGCCGACACGGCACGGCCGGCAGCGACGGCCGGGTGGATGTTGGGATGGGTAACCCGAGTTAAGGAGTGTCCTTTGCTTCAATTGGTCAACAGATCGTCGAACTGGACTGCTATAGGGTTGATAAAACAACCAATTGGGGACACAGTCACTGTGCCTTCATCATTCCGTAGTAGGACAAAGGGGCTTCCTGATGCTTCCGGGATTCTTCAAGGTCTGGACTTACCTTGCTGATGCTGAAGTCACAGCATCCTGTTTGGTGAGAGCCACTGGAAGGACATTGTAAAAAAAAATGAGGCCATGCTGAGCTAGCAACAAATTCATTGCAGCCGCATCGCTCAGTGATTTGCCAAACCTTAGAACGGAAACACACCAAACACCCAACAAACTGAAGTACAAGAAAGGCAACCGCCTGGCGAAACGTGTCTATTATATTCTATTATTGCATTCTATCTGATATCTATGTCGCCAGAATTACATGGTGAAGAGACGGTGTTCAAGGCAACGGCTTCAATTAGCAGCTCTCGGCAAGATATACAAATATTATGAACGGCGGGATGAGGAGCTACATGCACCTGTAGGTGATTGAATAGACTTGTCGACCCTCAAAACAGACGGTGATTTTGTGCATCTCACAAACACCTCAACAGTCTGCAACGACCTGCATGCCTTACAAAGAGCACCCCTCCTACTGGAATCACTCCGTGACCCCCGGTAGCACTGAACAAAAACGTCGAGCGCCCCGCTAGCTCCGCCTTCCTTTCCCCCCGCCCTCGACGGCGTCCGTGGTCGTTCGGTAGAGCGTCGATGTCGGAGAAATCGCGCCGTTGGTTGCCCTCGACCAGTGAGAGCTCCTGCTTCCGTCATCGGACCCGCTTAAAAGCACCAGCATCGGAAGCTGTGAAGCTGTGCGACAGAAACTCTAGTGACAGTGGTGTATTACGAGTATATGCTTTCTGCGCTCACAATATATATTATGCCCATCTAGGGTATGGGGGGAATCCACTGTCATAATCTAAATAATATCAATTTTGATCTCTTGTCAACAAGTACAAAATGTATCAACATGTACATTATCTGACAATATCTGATCACATACCATGCCATTCATGACTCCCGTCTCCAACCAAATTCTCCTGCATGCGAGCGAGATCGCTGAAGAACGCTCAGAACGCTTCGACCTTCATGCCCGGCCCCCGGATGAGCTGGGATTGTTTCGGTTCACAGCAAGTCTGTACAACCATCGATTTCACCACATGAAAAGGACATCTTGGACCATCCATGCCCTGTCTCTCGCCTCGGGACTAAAGACGGCCCATGCTCGGCTTCGAGAGCGCTTCGCTCATAGACGCTTCCTTGCCTTTGTTGGTCTGAAAAGACATGTGTTCACTGTGTTGGTCTGAATGAACATACGCAATTCATGATACATATGCATGGCAATTGCTGGCGGCCGCTGAATTTCTGAAAGGCTTCGTGTCTTACAACGGAGATGGAGTTGCGGTGCACCAGGAGTACTGGCGGGTAAAGGATATCTTAAACCAACGGTATGTACAACCTGTCTTTGTTTTCAATAGTTTGTTTGCTTATGGTGTAAGAATATGTAAGAATCCCCTGCCAAATTGGATCAAATGTGCGCTGCTGCGTTGCTTGCCTTTTGAATTCCACATGCGACTTTCTATTTGTCTTTGCTCACGCAATGCTTGCGTCGACATGCAACTTCTTGAGCCCTATGAGGCTGCAGCAAAAGCTGAGAATGGACACCTGTCTTTGCGGCGCCAGGACTATCTATCCTTTGAGGATAAATGAAAACATCACTTCAACTTTGAATCCATTGCTTCTGGCCATTCTTCCAAACTGTGTTATTCTTTGAATCTTACTAATACAGATACAGCCCACCCCCAATAAGAACAGGTTTGAGAGGTTGCTGTTTTGGGATGTTCCCCTTCTTTGAGCAGCTCCGCTGGAAAACAAGGACGGGTCAGGTTGAAGGCTGTGAGAAATTTATTGAAATGAAATGGGCTGAAGACTTAACCGAGTTGTGCAAGGTGCTTAAAGAGACTGGAATTTCAGGAGTCGGAAAATCTCTTGAGGCTGTAAGTTACGATGAGACAACTGCCATGCCCTTCTGGCAAGAAGCCTCATGCTCCCTATTTTGCCTGAGAGGACCTTCCTCTCCGGATGGTGAAACCAACTTTTTCCGGATCAATCTGCACAAGTGTCTGGTCCGAAAAATTACTCCAACTCATGAGAGGTCAATGGCCTCAGGGTCTCCGAACGGAAGGAGAACAACACGCTCACCACGTTCACCACTTCGACTCCGAGTCAAGACGAAGAAGACGAGCGGACAGCGGACTTCACTTCTCTCTCCGAGCTTGTGACCCAATTGGAACAGCTCTGTGATCCGTGGAACGTATTTTTTTGTTGCATATTTATCAGTTATTCATCATAACTGGTTTGTGTTTTCAGCCCACTTGAAACATATTTCTTCAAAGGGTTCAATCATCCCTCAAGTAAGGGTTAAAAATATAAATGACCTGGATAACAAAAAGTAACAGATCGGGTGAGCATCCTCTACTCGTTGGTGTCATACATTCCGTCAGCACATCTAGGAACTTGGCACCACAGCTCAGAATTTTTGTTAAGTTTGGATGGGATCTGTGCGCGATGTTCGTTGTTTTTATTACCATATGCCGATCCCACACAATGCTTTCTTGGGGGAAGGAGGAATGAAGACGTTGTGTTTACCATACTTGGATCTTTGCTTTCCTTGCACTCTGCCTTTCAGGGAAGCCCGTATACGTTTGTTTCACCCATGAGAAGCATCTTCTAAACACCCACCGGAATAACTTCAACAGCAACACTGGGCAACAACACGCTGCACGAGCCATCCGAACTGGGCTGTTTGGCATATTTACATGTCTTGGGCCATCCGAACATCGGTGGCGCTGGCGTGTGAAGGCTGCAAGTGCTCTTTGACCTGACTGGCCAACAAGTCTCTGACCGGTGGAATCCTATCAGAACTACTGCGTTACTGCTTGTTTCTTCCCAAGTAACTCGGCCAAGTATTTTTTTCTGGGCAATCTATAAGAACTAGGCATCTCGGAAAGCAAATCTGTCAAAGCCTGCTTTGAACATTGCTGGTTTCCTGGTAAATCATGGAACACAAGGGCCGAACAACACTGTTCTTGCCCTCTTTTGCTCCTCCGAAGCTCCGTCTCAGACCATCAGCTTGCTTCGTCTCCGATCGCCAGAAGCACCCCCCCCGAACCAAGCCATGCACCTGAACCCGCAAACCGAGCCGAAAGGCGTGAACCGCGGAGGTTCCCCGGGGCGCCTTGACCAAAAATTCGGTCTTCCAAGAGTCCAAGGGCTTGATGGCCTCGTCGACCGTCTTCGAAACGTCGTTTTTGAAGGATGCGCACATTTAGAACGAAGGAGTCGACGTGGTGACATGGTGATTGTTTGTGTAGTGTAGTGCTTGCGGCGTGTTGTTTGTTTGTTGTGTTTTCTTTCTGTTTGTTGTGTACGCACGGGTGAACCCAAAGCTGTCCAAAGAGCGTATGCGTCTTCAATTTAATTTTGTACTTAAGGTGATTTCATGCATCTGGATGCACAGCATATTTTGAGGAAACCCCCCAACGTCGCGGTAAAGAACATACAGTATGCTGCAACTGCATGTGGAAGGGGTTAAGGGGATTGGGCCTATGCTTCCAGCAAGTTGGGGCTTGAAATGATAACGGTCTTGATGCAAACAAAAATTGTTGCTATGTTTTGACACCCCCAAAGGGGTGCATCAAAAACGGCAAATGCTTCAAACTGCGTCTTGCCTTTCAAAGATTTTCAAAGGTTTCGGCGCGTCGCGTACGCCGTACGCGTCGATCTTCGATCGATTTCGATTGACGCGTCCCGGGCGTCAAAGTCCGAGAGCTTCTCCACAAAGGCGTCCACGTCGCCACCTGGGTGGATGGGGTCAAATGCGTGGCGGCTGGTCAGGTGAGTCCAGCGCAGCGGCGAATCGAATCAACAGCTGTGCCAAACCAAGCGGCTTTCGAAGGCTTGTGCCAGGTCACCCAAGAGCTCTCCTGGCGTCCAAAACAATCCGACTTGTCATCTTCTGTCATCTAAACGCAGGAAATTCCGGCAGTCGGATGCACATGGAAAGAAAACAAACACATCTCTCATCCCAGTTTACCAAATCACCATAAATCACCCCTGTTGTGCCGCTTTCGGGTCCCTCGGGCGGCCACGTAACGTCTGGCCTTCCCTGGAGCTGGCGAAGCGTGGATCCAGCGACCTGTCGAGAAGCGGTCGCACGAAGGTCGACCGGTCGAACAGCGGGGTCTTCGTTTGATCAAGTCTCAGAAGAATCATTGAACAATCAGAACAACTCTGTGGGATCGATCTTTTTTTGGTAAAGGATGATAGGTGAAACGAAGAGGAAGCGGAAGCTAGCGCACATGCAGCTAATGAGTGCGAAGGGAAGCCGATCCCCTGTATCAAGCAGAATACACATCTTTGGGGACAGGCGTAGATAATGCGACTCAAGGGCTACTCTCAGCGGCAGGCAAAAACAACACGTTCACTTAGAATGACCAGGTCCGGGTTTTGAATGGATCATTCACTGCAGCATACTATCAGCATACTCTATTGCACTATGAGGCACTGTGCCCTTGAGTACAAACTGCTAAGACAATATGCACCAGTTTCCATCCGGTGCACTGCGCCTGTATTTGTCTAACGCCAGGTTCACCGTGACGCTGTCACCACCTGCACAGCGACGCTGTCTGGCCGGAACGTTCCGGCAACGAGCCGCTTTCCAGCAGTCCAAGAAGGTCCGTGGATCGAGCAAGCTGGTCATGGAACAGCAAGTTGGCCATTTTAGAGATCCATTTGGAGCATGTCTCTTCGCTGAACATCTTACCCAAAGGGTCCAAGCTCAAATTCATCACGAGTGAATGAACAAAATTGCTTCAAGAAAGATTGGACCCAATCATTAGAACTTGACGAAAGTTCTCAGAAGGATGATGTGTCCGTCTGTCGTTGCTGAGCAAACATTTTGGATGACTCCTTTCAACACTGACGCAACCTGCGGTCTGCAAATCTCTGCAACCTGACCAACCCAAGGCGACCCACCTACCAAGTGAAGAATCCCTGCGTTCAGGAAATGCTCCTGACATGGGAAAAACAGCCACTAGTTCCGGCAGCATCTCGTCGATCGCAGGCGAACCAAAACGAGCATGCGAAAGTTTCGGGTGGGGTACTGTATGCTGGAGTTCATCTTCATGTGTACAGGTTCAGCTTGATAGTTTTGGTTCAATCCAACGTTTAGAAGGCTTGAATATCACCAAGTTCATGTTCATTCTTACCAAACTTGGCGATATTCAAAGAGATCAAAGACCCCCAGTAGCAATGTTCAATGCTCCTTGGAGCAGAAGGGGTAGCTCGAGGGAAACACCTCTGGCATAACCTATATATCTGTGGATTGAGAAACCGATAATGAATCCAAGTCAGGGGTACTTGGTCTTTGCCCACCATATACTGCGCCTCTTGTGTTTCCTGTCTAAATACTCCACCCTTCCCCACCGTCGCATGAAATTTGTGCCTGATCAAACACGTCGACAGATCGGCAGAGGTCGTGTTCCATGGGTTTTTACAGGTCCCCTCCTTGGCACCAAATTGCAGCAGAGTCTTCCCCAAGGCCTTTTCACCTGAAGAGTCTGTCTCTCTCGTTGCTCCACACACCCAACGCATGACTCGACGGAACTCCAGTGATAAGCAGTGGTTATAAGCAGGCGAATGAAGCATTACACGAAGGAACTCGAGTACATATCTTCCTTCCGGGTTGATCCACTATAGTCTCACAGATCGTTTCACTGGATGTCAAGGTTTTCGGACCTTGAAAAACTCTGAGGCGTCTCAGCTTCCATTGGAAGCCAAGTAGTCCGGCTTCTGAGCTCTTGTAGTTCAAAGATATCAAAGAGTTTGATCAAATGAAGCTTCCCAAAAACATACCAAACATACCAAGAAGAACTTGTTGATACTCTCAGCCCAAGAAGCTTCATATCTTTACGATTCTTCATATTATCGTGCACAATCCTCAGGATGGGAGAGGTAACTCCCTCAACTGTTTCAGAACCATTGCAGGGAGCTCCAAAGCCCTGTGATGTGTAGAAGAAAGAATCCAACTCTATGATCCATTCTGATCCTGCAAATCTGAGTCATATACACTTGGAACCATTGCACGCACTCATGGTTTTCACTTCTGTGGCTATGATTTTGTGAAACTTGCCTGTCTGGGGGTGCTTCATCACCTGAAACTTGGCGCATGAACAGCGCGTCCATCTCAGGAGGTCCGACCCACTCCATCGCCTCAAAACACGCGCCAAGGCGGATGGCCTCGTTGTTCGGCCTCCTAAACAGCCCTCCGCCTTCGACCCGTCGACGCGACGGCCTTCCCGCGTTCGACGGGAAGGACGGCCTTCCGCTTCGAAGATTCGGATGGCCTCCTGCAGGTCTCCATCCTGCGGAGCCGAGGTCTGCGAGGTCGCTGCGACCGAGCGACCGCACCGACGTCTTGGGCAACGAACTTGAATGTAAATCATCAAACGAACAACACAACATGACAAGACAGCCAGTAGTATATATTAATTATCACACATACATGAAAGCACTCTTGGAAAACATGTTCAACATGCTGGTAGCTCTACCTGGTCTACCTATGTTTGCCGAAAATACTATATTCAAGACCCACTCTGGCGTTCTCTCAGGAACCATATAATATAGTAATTAAGTTGTCATACCCAATGATGTTGTAGCAAAACCCACCACCCCGCCTTGGCAGCATACTCCGCAAACTTCAGATTGCACCTGAAACGTTCTCCAGGTTTGTTGCTTTGTGTTGGCTTCCAGTGGCACCTTGCAAGTTGATCAATCTTTTAAAGCTCTATTCGAGACATTCATGCAATCTAACACAATCTTCACGCCACACCCTCTCAACTGCACATCTCCTGGGGCGCCCCGCTTGGAGAAGTTGGATTCTGAATGGTCCGCCAGCTCAAACATTTCGGCGGCACGCTTGTAGAATTCCTGGCAACACGCACACACTGCTGGATCGTCAGTTTCTTGTACAGTAGTTGATATTATTGTGTTCCAAAGATATCCTCTGAAACTGCTGAACATTGACTTACAATCAACCCTGAATGAAAACCCATCAACGATCTACGTGGACAGTGAACTCCTTTTTCCAACATGAGATCAACCTTACAATCCTCTGCCAATGAAGTCCTCAAAGCTCAATTACTCTAGTAGAGTATGCAGGGTGTGGACCCGCCAAGATGAAGGATGCCTATTCAACATATTCTATTTTCCGCATCCGCATCTGTCCCACACCCCACTGATCCTCTCACTCACGTCTCACTCATCCGCGGACGCCTTGCACTCCTTGTGCTGCAACCTCTCCGCCTGGGCAGCATCCGTCGGGCTGTCCGAGTTCCCGAACGGACCGACAGAGCGACGGCGCTGCGGCGACCCCATCGGCTCAGCCGCTCCGGCGGTTGAACGAGCGGCGGAGCCGACCGGTCTCCAGCGTCGGTCGAACGGTCTCGGAGCCGGAGGTTTCCTGGGGGGGCAAGGTGTCGTGGCGCGGCGGTAGCCCGCCTCGTAGAGTTCAGCGATGGACAACAAAAGCTTGCCTGCCTGCGGAAAGAGATACTCTGAGTGGAGGGAGAGTCGGACGAGGAACCTTTTTTGGACGGAACACCTTATTTTGTTTGGGGGGGTCATGAAGGGAATTAAAGGGAGGTGTTCGTTGGGCGGGGTGAGCTCATGGGTGGGTATGTTTCGGAGATCTGAGCGCCTTCAACTGGAGGGATGCTGCAGGAAAGGTCTGCAAAAAAATGAGATCTATGTAAGTCTAAGACTGGACTAATTACTGAATTCAAACAGCTACTCAAACATTACATGATGCTGAATTCCAAACGAAACAAAGCACTCGAAACTGGATCGAGACAAGGCTGTTCCCGGCAGGTGACAGGTGTGACTGGAATGGATTTGGATGGAACTAACCGTCTTCCCAGTGACAACTCGATCCAAATCTCCGACAGCTCAACTCAATTGTATGAAAGCAACGAAAGAGGATGCTAGTAGGTTGGAGGCCATTGCTAGTAGGTTGGAAGCCGTTGCTAGTGGAGGCCATCGCTATTAGGTTGGAGGCCATTGCTTTTAGGTTGGAGGCCATTGCTTTTAGGTTGGAGGCCATCGCTAGTAGGTTGGAGGCCATCGCTAGTAGCTTGCAGGCCATTGCTAGTAGGTTGGAGGCCATCGCTAGTAGGTTGGAGGCCATCGCTAGTAGGTTGGAGGCCATCGCTATTAGGTTGGAGGCCATCGCTATTAGGTTGGAGGCCATTGCTTTTAGGTTGGAGGCCATTGCTTTTAGGTTGGAGGCCATTGCTAGTAGGTTGGAGGCCATTGCTAGTAGGTTGGAGGCCATCGATATTAGGTTGGAGGCCATTGCTATTAGGTTGGAGGCCATCGCTAGTAGGTTGGAGGCCATCGCTAGTAGGTTGGAGGCTGTTGCTAGTACCTAGTAGGTTGGAAGCCATTGCTACTAGTAACATCTAGTAACAAGAAACTACTAAGTAGGAACAAATTGTCGACAAAAATAGGCTCCTCGAACAGCTCCTCCAGCGCCTGTCGACCGGGAAAGCGCCTGCTGGAAGCGGCCTCCAGCGCTGTAGATGCTGATCGCCTGACGCACTCGCACTTGACCAATTGGAGAACCCGTTTGACCAATGGCACAAGGGGCTTTCAACCTCAAATCCACCTTGGGGAGCCTCGGTGTGTCAGCTGTGTCTGCTGTTTTTGGTCTACCAGTCTACCACGGAGCTTTCACTACTGGGGACCGACACTGAAGGCTCCGTGTCTGTTTTTCCATGCAATTGGGCCTCCCCTCAGCATCCACCGACCTACAAATCACCATCGTCGTATCCGCGCCACGTCCCGCACCGTTTGGACGTCCGGCACTGACATGGGGACACCGAATCAAGCTGCGCAAACAACGCTTCAACGCCTTCGAAAATGGTCACCACACATTCTGTGGAGATGCCGCGACCACCCGCGACCCTTCAAAGTGCTTTCCTTGAAAACTCCACCTGGAGTCTCCAGTGGTACCTAAAAATGTGTACCACTTTTTTTTATGCACGTTTTCTGCTTTTAGGTACGTTTTGGAAGAATAGGTACGTTTCAGAAGAATGTGCTCGAATGTATGCCCCCTAAAAAAATGTGCTCGTTTTTTATGGTACCACTGAAGACTCCATATAGCATTTGATCTCAGGAAGGGTTGTTTGATGAGGGACACTCATGCACACTCATGCACATGTTCTTTTTTCATGAGGGACACTCATGCCCATGTTATTTCCACGAGGGACACTCATGCCAATTTGTTTTTCATGAGGGACGCTCATGCCCATGCTTTTTCCATGAGGGACACTCATGCCCATGGTTTTTCCATGAGGGACGCTCATGCCAATTTGTTTTTCATGAGGGACACTCATGCCCATGTTTTTTCATGAGGGACACTCATGTTCCGACCACCTTCACAGCTTCATGATAACACATACCGACCATTTTTTCATGTCATAGTCATGTCATGATCTCATCTCATCCACGCTTTTTTTCATCCACTTGGTCCATCGTCTTTTGTAATGCATCAAACTCTTCTGCATGGTTGTCATGCAAATGGTCAGTGAATGGCAGCGCCGGGACGTACGAGCAACCTCAAAACAAGGATGCGCATGGCAAGCACTCTAACAAAGTGCCCCTGACAACATCACATCTCCACCAAGGAACTCGTCCTATGAAATCTTCATCCATCCAGGTGGCAAAAACTCAGTCAACACAGCTACAGCAAGACATGTGCAGCACACACAAGCACATGTGCACACAAATCAGGAATCTATACAAAAGCAGAGAAGAAACTGTTGGGGCTCAGAATCTGTTCCGCTCCACGGTCAAGCTGGTCCTGCATCCAAAGCCTCATGGCGGATCAATTGAGCAGGACAAATGATAAGCTGCAGCAAAAAATCCTAAGGACATGGCTGAATCTCTGATTGCATGTGCTGTTTTGGTCTTGTTTTGAACAGAGACCATCCATGTTTTCCCTGTTGAGCTGCCCAAGCCCGAAGAGATGCATACCCTTCCTTGAAGTCAAAACATCTATATAATGCCGGAGCCGCTGAAACAACTAAGGAGCTAGAGATTGAAGAATCTTTGCAGTCAGGCATCCATCATATTCTGGCAAGACTGGACACATGCTAACGCATCCTCCCTTGGAATCCATGTCCTTTTTGAAATGCCACGGAAGTACTTGTCAACAGACTCCACCAAAAAGCGAAGCAAAGCCAAGGCAGGACCAGGAGCTACCTTATGCAAAGAAGGATACAGGGCCCCTCTAGAGTTCAAACCACCTAGGCATCAAGGTTGGTGCTGCCAAAAGACATGATCTTCATTCGGGGCAGGATTCTGAAGCAAATCATGTAGCCATTTGCCAACAACTGCTACATCGTGTCCCTTGCCCTTTAGCCGTGGCCAAGAGGATAGCCTCAAAACCCAGGCCACACAATGAACCTTTGAAGCATATGCATGCATGGAGTTCTGAATCTCAAAACCTTTGGTTAAGGCGGTTGAGGGACGAAACGCACTTGAAACTCTTCAGGGAGAACTCATGGAACGTTGTGGTCAAACCATATTTGCGGCGGAAAGAGTCAAATGAGCGGAACGCTTGAACAAGTCGTTGCTGAAGATTTCTTCCAGCCCACCACTTCCACCGGCAGGCCAGCAAGACCTCACTCAGCACTGAACTGCCCCTCGAGCTGGCAGGCATGCTGAACAACACTACCGAACAATCACCAGCCAAACAAGGATTGCACCAAGCAACAACAGCACTTCCTGTGAAGTCTTGACCAATTCCCATGAACCATGTATGAGCTTGGTCTGGAGGAGGTAGCGTTGGATTGAAGCCAGGCACGCAAGACAACAGAGTAACCTCCTTCACAGCATTCGGCCCAGGCCTACTCCTCCGCCATGGAGCTGTCATCGAAGGATCCCACCAGCCCTGCACAGAATTCATCAAAATTCCATGACTAACAATTGCCCCAAACAAATGCACATCAATCCTACCTGTCCGTCACAGTAGTGGCAGATTCTTGTGGATGTGAACCCGGTGAGCAAGCCATGCAGCTTTCCTGCAGCTTTTCAAATGCATACAAGGTATATATAACATTCAGCTCAGGACTGTGCTTTTGTGAAACTAGCAGACTGCAGTGTAAGCTAAGGGCAATGCTTTGGTATGGCCAATCTCCCTTTGTTCCAATCACAATGCAATAGATAGTCATTGCTGCGCCACTTTCCAACTGCACCTTCGCAACAACACAATTCAAACATATTCAAACATACAGTTGGAATTCCAGGGCACATGCCATCACGTGTATTGAGTGGAGCCTGCCTCAAAACCATCCCAAAACAAGGCTTTCAGGTCAATCGCCATTGCATCATGTAGCCGCGAGAGTGTGTCATCATTGGCGTAACACTCTCCAGGAACTATGCTATGCAACAGTCTGGAACAAAAGGAATGATTCCTGGGGGCAAGGACAGGGGCAAAGCTCTCAATCATGATAGCCCGCTTGATTTTTCCTCTGCCTTCATCTCCGTGCCATACTATTGGCACACACTGGCACAACCTGCCCCGATGTGCACGGAATACCTAAGTAAAGCTTCAATCACATTGCATGCCACATATGTTTGCACATGTATTTGGTTCACAGAATTTCTCATATATGTGCTGCTTGGCAGCTTCATGATCTGGTGCCACTCGTTCATAGAAGGACCAAAACTTATGAAGTTCTGCATCCCACTTGGAGCGGTCATTGAATCCAATACCGTTGGCTAACATCCTTCCATTTGTTTCTTTTGCTATCATTTCCATCCATGATGAAAGTGTCAATACAGGCCATGGCATAGAGACAAATCTGCCACGCCACTTGCATGGAACATCCTGCACAATTGAAACCTTTACTGGCAATGTGAGGCCCAATCGTTCAATGAGGCGAAGGAGATTTCGTTGGAAATTTCGTGGGCTGCTCCAAGAATTCACCATGTCCAGAACTTTGGATGTACCTTGCATTTGGGCACCAACACTTATTTAATGACATGTGGAGGCATTTGGTCTTGGAGCGCATGCAACAAAGGCACTGCCATCTGGAAAAACCATACCTTTGGTCATCTGGGCCGCTGAGACACATTGTCTAGCGTTGTCAGCCTGATAGTTCAGAATGATGCATATGTACTGCAACTGCTAAGGGGGCCTCAGGTTAGAACTCCAGTCTCGAAACCCTCCAGCAGATTCATCAAGATCTGCATCTCGTTCTCCAGGTCAAGGCCAAGACAGCTGCCTCCAGGCATCACAGTACTCATGATTTTTCCAGCGTTCTAGTGGCAACAGTTCTTGCACTCTCAATGGCCTTCTTTCAGCAAACGGTCCTGGCCTACACAGATTTACAATCAAGTCAACGAAACATGACAATGGGCAACACCTTCTTTGCTGACCTGTTCTAGGGTCCATTGACAAATCAAGTCCTGACAAGTGACAAGTAAAAAAACTTAACAATGATCACAATGCTTGGAGGAAGCACAAACTGTAACTCATTGCAATGTGTTTTGATGAAGCGAGTAGCCAGGCTTCCTACCACACACACAGTTTTCCGCAAAGCAGCACACTACATGGGCCAGCGTCGATCGCACATGATATGAAGTCTCTGAAGTTCTGATGCACCCCCTGACATGTTTGCTAGTTACAATCTTATCAAGGTATCACTTATCGCTGACATAAGTTGGCAAGCTGGGCACTCATTCATGAATTGTGACAAGTGAGGAGTGCATCAAAGGTACAGAGATGCCCACTGCAAAATGATGGACGTGGCTCCTACCCAACCAAAAGTACTGCTCACGATTCAGGATCACTTCTTGGTCTTCTTTTTCTTCCTTAAGGGGCAAACCCAGACCCTATCCAACAGATAGCACACAAACAAAACTCCAATGCTACTTAGTCTCTGTGCTGGTTCTGCGCTGCTATCATCTTTGGGGGAACCAGGTTCAGACTTGACCTTCTCTGTCTTTTCTTTTTTTTTCTTTCTTTGCTTTCTCTGTCTTCTTATCACGTTTCTTGCTGTCTTTTGCTTCTTTCTCTGCGGCAAGCTCTTCCTTGGACTTGGGCGGCTTCCACTTCCTCAGTATGCCAGATGAGCAAGAATATGCATGGGCATTTCATACAAACAACCCATTGAGCACTTGACTAGAAGAACAAACATGAGTCTGTGGGCTTTTACATCATACAAACAAGCAGTTGAGCATATGACTTCGCACGGGCCAAGTAGAAGTTCATCTCCACATCATGCTTCGTGCACTCAATGAAAAGAGACCCGCAACTGTCACGATCTGTCCTTCCAGGATCACCATGCTAGAGAAGAAAACATAAGAAAACAGTTAAACACTCGTATTTCATGCTGAACATCTCAATCAGCGCATATAACAATTCAAAGCGTCTTCTCCGGAGTCTTGCTCAAAACCTGGCCCTGTAGTGTCATCAAATGTGCATTGACCTTTTTCATCGCTTCCAAAGGTTTACCAATCCTGGCAATAAGCCTCAAGCAAAGAAAGTGCCATCAATCAAGAACAAGTTGAATCAATTGTCAT